GTGGCTCCTAGCAACGGCAACCGGCGTCACCGCACTGACATCTAGCGGCCAGACTCGGAAAGACAGAAACACAGGACCGAGCGACCTTGCTGAGCTAATAATAATAATAATAATAATAATAATAGCTTACACTTATATAGCGCTTTTCTGGACACTCCACTCAAAGCGCTTTACAGGTAATGGAGTAATGTCGTGTCGTGTCATTTCCCAACCCGCTTTGTATCGTACGGGATCCCTACCCGTCAAGCAACGAGCGCACGGCAGGGTAGACCCTGGACGGGGCGCCAGGCCATCGCAGGGCCAGTGCAAGCCAAGAATACATGGGGACAGTGTGAGGCCGTAGTAAAGGCCGAGTAATGAGCACTGAGAGTCAAGGCCTCGGTTTAACATCTCACCCGAAAGACAGCTGAGAGATTAATATAAACTACAATGAGAAATAATAATAGCCTGTCCTGAAAATTTTAGGTTGCAGGTGTCTCACATTTTTCCATTGTCATTACTGGTGAACAGAACGCTAGCTAGCTGGTTACACTGGGACCAGTTATCAGCTCTCCCCTTTACTTACACCATTAACATTTAAACAGGACATTCGGTGTAATAGAATATCAAAATCCACCGCTAAAAATCCTAATGAAACTGGGCCTATTTAAAGACCTCTATTCGCCCTGTTTCATAGAAATATTTCAGTTGTTTAAGATACCATCCATACAGTTCAATCAATCCCTGTTTTAAAGAAATTTGTTTATGAAAAAAGTTGAATTGTGGTAGTGATGTATACAGGGTTAAATGAGATAGTAGATGTGCTCAAACAAGATTTTAAGTGGCGGCTTGTTTTACCTAACGTAGTCACTGCTGTCATGTATGTTAACCCTTCCCACAGGCCTTCAGAGCAGCTGCAGTCAGAGGGCAGGCCCCTCTGTACCCAGAATCCCCAGTGCCCCGGACACTATCTCAAGAAACACACGGCCAAGGCCAGTGTAATACAGCAAGAAACGGACACATTTTGAAAAATCAATAGATTTTATTGTCCTCCACGGACTGCAAAATTAAAACAGGCACATTGCCCTGAAGATGACAAACCAGCACAGACAGACACCACCAGAGAGGACAGCACTGCGTCTCCCTGTGCCGGGAGATGACGGTTTGTGCACACAGGTTATTTCCCATTTCATTCACCTTATTCTTTAGCTGTGACATCTCCTTTAGCCAAGGGCTCAGAGCACAGATTGCTGACTCTCATGGGGATTTCTGCCAACTCATCATTTAACAAAGCAGCTTCTGGGGAACGTGGTGGCAGGCAGGAAGTCCAGAAGGGGAGGAAATACAGTGTCGCACAGTCTTGTTCACTCACTGGGGAATCAGATCACAGGCGCTCACATCTCAGGGCTAAACATCTGGAAAGACCTTCAGATAACAGCACACCGTGTTTTCTGCATCATCTGAAATATACAGTAGTCTCACATGACACAATATAAAGAGAGACAATCGACCCCCCTTTCAGACGCTCAGAAATCATTGTTTTGTGACGGAATGGTTAACTTTCAGCCCTGAGCTACTCCCTCAGTGTTTACTGGTATCTTCTATCAGAGACAACCTGTTCATCTGGATTAGTTATATGACCAGCTGTCTCCGCAGGGGGACAGGGAACGGAGTCCAGCCTCGGCGCAACAGTTTTGTGCTGCGTCACCGCGGCCCCTCCACTACTCTCTCTTGGGCCGTCCGCGGGCTCTCCCGGCCCGGTCCGACAGGGCCTGAGCCACACTGAGGTGCCGCCAGGCGTCCAGGATGAGCAGGCAGGGAATGACGATCCACAGCGCGTTCATGGAGACGAAGTAGAACCAGAAATACAGGGGGTGTCCCAGCTGGCTGTGAGAGAAGCCGTCGCGGTACTCCGTGTAGAAATACAGCACGTCGCCGTACAGCTGACCTGCAGCACAGGGGTCGAGCAAAAACCGTTTCAGATGCTGCTGGCATGCTGATGAATTCCTGTTCTCAATTTACATCCCAGAGCATGACAGCGTTTTAAATACAAAATGCTGTTTAAATTACGTTATTATCATTACAAATCTTTACAAGTTAAGGATCCATGGGGGTTTGATGATAGTTCCTTGGGACTTTTCCCTTATTAAAAAGAAATCTTTGGACGTGATCTACGTTCTTACTACTAAATGCACCCTGGAGAAGCAGAGAGAGGAGGCTGGGCGACAGGAGCAGAGAGAGGAGGCCGTGGCTCAAGCTGCAGATCCCAGTCTTACCCAGAGAGACGATGAGCTGCAGTACGAAGCGATACGGCTGGCTGGAGACGAAGGCCAGGACTGTCCAGACGCTGAGCGGACCCCAGGCCCAGGCCGTGATCGTCTCCATGCACACCGTGAAGTTATCGGCTCTGCGGGACACGGGGAGACACAGGGAGGCAGCTGTGAAGCAGGGCCCTTAACACTGGGAAAGACACAGGCTGCCAAAGCACTGGTGCCTTCTGACTGAAACAGATATCCAAAATCTTCAACTGGGATAAAGAGGTCTGTTCGAAGCACAACAGGGGTGTGAAGACTAACACCACAACGCTTTCGGTCACTGGGTCATGTGTGGGATCCCAGAATTACTAAAAAATCCCAGGAGGGACATTCTGCTCTGCAGTTTCTTCTGAAGACACCTGCACAGACAAGGGGAATGAATCTATAGGTCTCCCTTCTGATGCAGCAGCAGCAGCTCATGCTCAGATTGCCTATAGAGAGCAGGGTCCCGTCGGGAGAGCTGTCCCGGTGCAGGGGGACCGTCCAGAACCAAGCTTGGACCTACGTACAGCTGTTGTTTCGAACCAAAACGAGACTGGAGGGCTACAGTCAGCAGAGCCCGACATGACCACGACACACAAACACCGGGGCCAGAAATTCACACCAAGCAAAACATATAACTTACATGATGTATCTGCTGTCTCCTTTAGAATATTCTTTCCCTGAAACACATCAGAAGAGAAGAGGAATGAGCAGGCGAGAGCTGCAGTCAGAGTGTGGTGGATCATGAGAGGCCCGGCAGGGCTGCACTCACACAGCTGGGACAGGAAGGACTGGTCCGAGGGCAGGCTGCGGTAGTTCAGGCTGAACCAGCCCTCGATGACGCCGTGAACGAAGCCGCACACCGCGAACCAGCACAGCGCCAGCCTGCGCCCGCCGCTCAGTCCCCCGGCCCGGCCCGTCGCCCACCAGGTGCCCACCAGCAGCACCCCCGACACCGAGAACAGGAACGCCAGGATCTCGGCCACCGAGCGGTCGTTGGGCGTGTATCCCGGAACGGACAGGTCCCGCGGCCAATATGGGTGCTCCGGCCCCGCCTTCTCCATGACCTGTGGACATGGGACAGGGGGAGAGGGGGAGAGGGGGAGATCCTAAGTGCAAAGCACACCCAGCTCTGCTGCTTCTGCTGGAGCCCCGTGTTCCTGCAACAAGCCAGTCATCCTCCCCAGCAGCCCTGCCAGATGACTCCGCGTCTTCCAGTACGAGCTCCTGATTGCATGATCCACTCAGCCAAGGGTCCGGGAGAGACAGGGAGAGCTGAGCCGGACCGAGGCCCAGCAGACACTGGGGCCCGGAGAACCGGTGTCGCAGCAGCCTGGCACAGCATCACCGGCACTGGGGTGTTCCCATGGGACTAACCGTGGGATCAAGGACACTGTCCAGTAGTTAGCAAATGGTAGCCTAATCCTGGTTGTCTGGTAACCAGTGTGCTCCTGCGCACTACTCCAGCCCAATCTGGAACTGTGACAGACTGAGGAACTTTGTCCTTGTGCAGCCACAGGGAATCAGCCCACTCTAGGGTCGCCTCTGGACATACGACATGAGCTTCACCGCCTTGTCTTTATGGTCCAGTTCGTGGATGAAACAGGCCTTCTCCCGAGAGATCATTACATGAGCCTAAAGCACCTCGTTTAAAGAGCCATTCTGCAGATCCGCCAAAACTCGTTCACTTCACCTCCATCCGTTAGCTGTTATCAACCTGCTACTCATATTCATCCTTAAGAAAAATATCCCAAATGCTATCCTAGCTCTGTCTATGCGTTCACCTACCTCGTATTCGTGTGTCTCTGTCCAGTCAGCCGCAGTGGAGAAACCGATTCTGTTTAACCACCAACATATCTGGCTCAGTGTGTATCTTCGCTACTGTACTTGATAAACATAACGAGTCCTTTCCCTTCTGCTGTTTGAGCAATAAGTGACGTTATGACTAGCACAATGTGAACTCACCGTATGATGACCGCAGTTTAATGACCGAATGTCTCTTCTTCTCTCTCGGCAATGTTAACAGAAATGTATAAACTGTCTCAACCGCCTCTCTCCTTGCCCTGCGCTTACCGCACTAAATTAATTTCTCTCGGCACACTGGGGGAACGCCTCCTCACGCCGAGGCCCCGAGTATGTTGTCCAATCAGACAGGAACTTTGTGGACTGACAATTATTTGCACCAATTATGTGCTGCAAGAAGGTTGTTCGAGCTGGAATTAGCCAGTCAGAGCGAAGAGGCAGCCGCTCTTCCTCTTTACCTTGGCACGCCTCCGGATGGGCGGGTCCTTCCAGAGGTTTGCCCAACCAGAGTGCAGAACAGGCGGTGAGAGTGGCACGAGAGGACCGTCCGATCATGCGGATTGGTTGGACGGCTCGGAACATGCCTGGTCGTCATGGCAGCGCACTTGGGCGCTGAGCTAGCTGTGCTGGATTGTGTGTGCAGAGGTCGCGTCCCGTGAAAGCGGTAATAAAAATATCCAGGTTTCAAAATGGGACATTGGATTTTCCTTGAAGGTGTTCAGTGCATAGGATACAATGGTCTGGATAGAGGTACACTTTGAAAACCGAGAACAGGAGGTGCTTGTTTTCGCGGAGGAATGTGGTTGTTGGGTGCAGCCCTGTCTCTGACCATTAACTACCTCACGGGCGTGATGAGGCCGAGCAGTCTCCCCTCAGAGTTTATAAGTGCTCTTATGTCTAATACTCTATGCATCAGTCCATCTTTGTGTGAGAAAGCGCTGATTTCCTAGTTTTGCTAGTAATAGGCATGGTAGCAGCCATATCACCCTGCAACTCACAACTGGCAACCCACTGAAGCTAAGCAGGTGTGAGCCTGGTCAGTACCTGGATGGGAGACCTCCTGGGAAAGACTAAGGTTGCTGCTGGAAGAGGTGTTAGTGGGGCCAGTCGGGGGCGCTCACCCTGAGGTCCATGTGGGTCCTAATGCCCCAGTATAGTGACGGGGACACTATACTGTAAACAGGCGCCGTCCTTCGGATGAGACGTAAAACCGAGGTCCTGACTCTCTGTGGTCATTAAAAATCCCAGGGCGCTTCTCGAAAAAGAGTAGGGGTGTAACCCCGGTGTCCTGGCCAAATTTCCAATTGGCCCTTACTAATCATGGCCTCCTAATAATCCCCCTCTATGGATTGGCTACATTACTCTGCTCTCCTCCCCACTGAGAGCTGGTGTGTGGTGAGCATTCTGGCGCACTATGGCTGCCGTCGCATCGGTGGTGGTGGTGGAGGGGAGTCCCCATTACCTCTAAAGCGTTTTGAGTGGAGTGTCCAGAAAAGCGCTATATAAGTGTAAGCAATTATTAGCATCAGCGCTGATTGATAATCTACCCCTCTCCATCACCACCAGTAATATTCATATAGCTGGAGTAGGTGACAGATACAGAGCACATCCCTACTGGCAGGACTGTGTCAGGCACTGATGCCGGGTGCGACCTCACGGTGAGGCAGCAGTATGGGGGCTGAACGAGCTGCAGGAGTTCAGAGTAATTACAGACATGCAGAACAGCCACTGAAGGGCGGGGCTCTAGGGGGCTAGCTGGTAGTGTGAGCGAGAGTCAGAGCAGGGACTGGCGCACAGGATTCCCCCAGGGGTGAGTAAACAGGGGCGCGTGAGTCCCCAACACAACCAGGGCCTCTGAACGCGGCTCAGCAGCAGGACGGACCCGAAGCTGAAAGGCCTGTAAATAAGAACTCTGAGGAGCTGGTTTACTGGGGGGTTGTGATAGAAAACGCCCTTGAGTTTCCACGGCGCCGGGGGTGTTGAACGGGTTCTGGATTCTGTCCGGATCGGAGATCACCTCCACCCCGTGAGTTGACCCGATTCAACACTCCCCTGGAACCCGGAACCAAGTGCCCGCGAGAGTGAGCGGATCTGTGCTGGAAGTATGGGATGCCTGCTGTGGGGATCAGACAGTTTTGAGGCTGTGTATAACCCACGGTCGTCTGTCACGGTCAAGGCACAATCTGATTTCTGATGTAGCCGGGTGGTTTGGAACTATAAATTCTGTAGTAAATACAATAAATAGCGTACAAACAAAAATGTCTCTCTCATCATGGATCATTAAGAATAGCAAGCAGAGGGATATATCATAATACACTTATTATTCAAGTAATAATCACGTTATTGATATGACATACAGTACACAGCTCCACTGTGATCGTAGGAACAGCGCGCCGTAGGACAACAGCCTGATGAAGATGCTTAGGAGTGCTTGGGCCACCACATGCATTACAGATCAACACCACAAGAGGTCAGGATTTACTCACTGTTAAAGTGGGTTGACTCAGAGATGAAGATCAACCGCATGGAAACAAGCGCCCCTCTTCTCAGACGTTTGGTAAGCGTTCGAGTGGTCTTAATGCGGCTCCTTAGTACACGGTGAGGGTGCTTTGGAAAGCAGAAGGCAAAAGGGACACCTTCCCATACCGGGAGTCGAACCCGGGCCGCCTGGGTGAAAACCAGGAATCCTAACCGCTAGACCATATGGGAGC